CCCAGGCTCGTCCCTCTGAAGGACCCCCGCCCCCCAGGCTCGTCCCTGGTAGGACCTCCTCCCAGGCTCGTCCTCCTGAGGAAGCCCCAAGCGTATCCGCAGTAGGAGCCCGAAGACTCGTCCCCTGGTAGGACGCCCCCCGCCCCCGCCGCCAAGCTTGTCCCCTGGCGGACCCCCTCAGGCTCGACCCCAGAAGGCTCGTCCCCGAGGACGCCGGCCGTGCGCACGGCCTGCGCGACCACGTGACGGCACACAGCGCGGCAGGGTGGGATCGAGGACGGCGCGCGCGCCCGCTGCCCCTCAACCCGATTGCGCCCACCCGCCGACCGGGTCACGTCGCACGTGGACCCTCAGGCTAGACCCTCGGCGGCCGCGCGCACGCACTCACGTCCGCGTCCCCGTCCCAGCGGCACAGTGGGCGGGGCGGCGGGCCTGAGCGTGCGGACTGACGCCCTCCGACCCCGCCCTTCAGGATCCCGCCCCCGTAACCTACAGGCCCCTCCCCCCGTGTCCTCTAGGCCCCGCCCCCCAGGGCCCGCCCCCTGTGTCCTCCAGGCCCAGCCTCCAGCCCCTTGCGCCCTGGTGCAGGGTCCATTGTACACCGGAGCGGGGACAGCTGGCTTGACCCGCGTGCGTCACAGCCCAGCAAGGGTCCCAGCACACCCTCCCACCCTTTCCCCGAGGGCCACCCCCACCGTGGTCCGCCCCGACTCGCCTCAGAGGGTAACTGCCCCACTCCCTCGTCCTACCGGGGGGCCCCGAGGGGTCTCTGGCTCCCCCGAGGGGTCTTTGGCTCCCCTAGGGACTCTGGCTGCCCCTCTGGCCAAAGGTCAGACGTCCCTGCAGGTCGGGTACACACTGCGGGCAGAACCAGGGGAGGCTCCGAAAGCGGCCTGCCCCAGTAGCCGGAACATTTTCCCGAACAAAGGCTCAGGCCTGGCACTCCAGTGCGGGGACCTCCGAGGGGCTGGGCTGGGGCGGGGTGAGCCGGGCTGCGGGAAGGCCAGAGCTGGCCTCTCAGGACTGCCGCAGGTTCCGCCTGCCGCCCCGCAGCTCCAGCGTGCCCGTTCGCCTCTGCTCCGTGGGGCCTGTTAGGGTCTGCCGGCCGGGGCACCGAGGGAGCCAGGCAGGGAGGAAGGAACTTTCTTAGCCTGAGAATGTCCCTGTGGCCGCACCCCAGCAACAATGCCAGTGCCCAGCCTCATCAGTTCCCTCGGGGTGCCAGCAGCAGCGAGGAGCACTCTCCCCTCAGATGTGTGAGTCCCAGCTCCATGGGGCCCCGAGGCCAGCCAAGTACCACCTGCTCCTCGGGTGGCTGAATCCCAGCCCCGAGGGACACCCTGCGCTCCTCAGAGCCCCTTTTCCAAGCTACCAAATCCAGAGACTCCCACTTCCTCCTTTTGCCACCCCCAGACTTAGGGTAGTAGCTGCTTCCTGCTATTATTCTGTTACCCCCGTGCTCCCTTTTTGCTTTTTCAGCCCTCCAACACCCTAAATTAAACTGTTACATTAACGAACGTGGTTTCCACCTTCCTGACTGATACAGTGCCTGGGAGCTGGAGCAGGTTCATCTCCCATGCTCCAGCTCCCGCTGGTCCTCCTGAGGCATCTCTGGTACTTGCCCAGCTCATCCAATTCCGTATGTCATCAGAGAAGCAGCCAGGAGGGACATTTTGTGGAATGTTAAAATAACGAGGCTGTCTGGCCAGCAGAGAGCAAGAGAGTTCCCATGACCCTGAGGCAGCACTGAAGATGCACTGTACTGAACAGATGCATTCTGGTGATCCTGGCCAACTGGCACAGAGAACAAGCCCATGCCAGCTCAGTACCTGCAGGCCCTGTGCCAAGGGGGTGCTGACCGGCTCTGGTAACAATGCCCATCTGGAACAGCGGCTGCAGCTGGGGTCATCGCCTCTGTCTTCACTAAACCATACTCCCTAAGATCTGCCCTCCTTCTTGACAGGTAAACTAATGGGGTGTGCTAAGTACATCACCACTACATAATCCCGTCAAGGATGCATTTCACCTTTGGATTACTATCCTGGCAGGGAGAGGACGTTCCAGACACTTCCACCTGCCCCCCGCCCCACCATAATGGCCCTTGCTCACAGGTCAGTGTGGGCATTCTCCCAGTTCTCAAGTCTGTCTATGTCAGTGTCACACTCAGGCAGGGACAATAACCACAGAGGGGTTACTTATCACCTGATCGCCATAGGCCCTCACTCCAACTAGTACCAGTGGCATCTTAGACCTGTGGGAATTAGTATCCATGCCTTTTCCCAGGCAGTCACCAGAACAAATGGCTGCAGTTTCCCTTGGAGTGCCTGGAGGAAAATGGTGCGTGCAGTGGCAGCGTTACACGTCCTTCCTCCAGAATTTCGGCCTCCCCTTCCAGCAAGGACCCTGGGTCTCTGAGTTGGTTTTCATCTGGAAAATGGATGACAGGCTGTGTCTCTCCATCGTGGTGACCAAGTTGGGTTTCTGGACCCCCGACTGCTAACGCTCCTCAAGGAAATGTCCTAAGAACTATTTACTTCCCAAAGGGGTCTTGACAACCATGTGCATCTTGGAGGGCAAACCTTCTGTTCCAGAGAAAACACTTCATGCCTCTCTGAAGCAACCCACAGTGCTCGCATCTACACACGTCCTCCTTGTGAGCTTGGGGACCAACTTCTGATGCTACCACACAGCTGAGGCCCAGAGCTGGCCAGTGAGCAAGGCGAGGCCCAGGATCCTACCCAGGCTCGTCGCCGGCGAAACAACTCTCTCCGGTTCACGGCACGCCCCCTTCAAACTTCAACGCAGGAGAGACTTTTCCTCTCCGGACACAACAGTAAAGTTTTATCATTTCCCGAAATGATGCATTCTCAAACGTTTACTCCAAAAAATACTTTATTTATTAAACAATATATCCATAATCTATAACATGATCCAAAAATACAGATATACATCTTTACATTATTTAATAAAAAGATTTACAATATTATCTTTCCTTTACAAAGGGAACATAGATAATAATTCCTTGAAAATAAAATGTAACATTCATGTTAAAGCTGCATCATCTTTTTGGATGAAATGTGGTAAAGGTGAACACCACAGAATACCTATGTAGGAAGAAAGAAACCTCATGGAGCTCTCTCCTGAATGAGAACGTTTTTCTTAGACTTCCTTTTAAAATTCCTCTCAGCACAGGTAATGAAGAGCAATCACTGTTCACTAAAAATTGAGGAAAACCTTAAATCTTCAATGCCCATAAGTGTCCGAATCCCAGATGGGGCAGACCCTGGCTGTGGCCATACGGGGAAGCTGCTCTTTGGACAGTGTTATTGCTCAAGGCAGTCCCTGCCAAGGGCTGCAGGGACAGTCAGGAGGCCGAGTGTGGTGTGGCTGTGGGGACGGGCCTGACACAGAGCTGGCCGTCGTCCCCATGTATCCCAGCAAACCCTGCCACTCCCAGTGCACAGGCTGCAACTCGGGCGTCTGCTGCCCTGGGCAGGTTGGAAGCCGCCCGGTTCCCACGGCCCTGGCCAGTACCACCTTCATGTCCCACCTGCCTGGGGGCCCCAGCCTGCACAATGGGGACAGTCACATGAGCCTCGGCTCAGCAACTGCGTCCCAGCCGACAACTCCACCAGGGCAGCCCCAGATGCAGGGGGCTCCGCTTAATAAAGTTTCTATTAGCGCAGCATTTGTTCCCCCACAGGGAGACGAGAGGAGGTTTCTCAAATTGCTGACTGTGAACAAGCAAAGTGATTCTGCTTCTCCTCTGAACAAGGTACTTCTTCCCTTACGAGCAGACCCCACAGCCATGGAGGGCCCTCGCCCTTGGCTCAGATACAGCTGCGAGAGTGACCCGCTGGGCCCAGCCCAGACCCCCTCAACCCGAGGGATGGGGTTGGCTCCACAGCCGCCTCCAGGATCAGATCTGGCGCCTGGCAGGCAAGGACGGGCAGTCTGGCCTGAATCACCCCCGAGACAATGGCGGCCAGGCTTCGTGGAGCAATCCCTGGATGGTGCAAGCAGCGTGGGCTCCCGCCACCCCTGCAGGGCTGGAGCCAGGCCAGGTGGCAGGACATTCTTTCCCAACCAGCCACTCTTGAGTGTCTCTCCGACACACAGACAGTATGAGTGTCAAGAAAGGCATTCAGTCATGATCCAAACAATGCTCCAGGGAACCTTCCTGTCCTGCCCACGTTTTCTGCTTTCTCCACAGCTATAAGCATATTATTTGGGGGACATTATTGTAGCTGCAAAAGTAAACACTAGGAACAGATCAGCACAGAAATGTAAACAACGGTCAACACGTGGGGTGTGACAGTGACAAGCAGGGCAACATCATCGAACTTAAACAAAAGCTTAAGACGGAGAGTCAGTCATCTTTCCTGGGAAGTGACTGAGGCCTCAGGAAACCAGAGACAATCGAAACTTAACCCGCCATCAACCTCCACCCGCAACACCAGTGTCTTCCCGGATGACAGTAGGTGTGAAGGGTTCAGAGATGAAGTGCAAATATTAATTAGCTTCCACAGATTCATGGCTAACCTACTGTACTTACCTATCCTCCCCACAAAAACTGGTGAAAGAGCAAAGAAAAAAATGTTTCCACAATTTATTCCCCACAATCTTTAAACACCTCTGTCAACAAAAAGCTAAGTTACTAAATACAAACATGCCTCGTGTTCCAGCTGCAGCTGAGACCAATGGGTGTGTTCGTCGGCGCTCAGGCAGATGCCGCCCCGGACACTTCTTTTTGAGCAGCAGGAAGGATCGGTTCTGAAAAGGCTTGTCAGGCCTGGGGACCCACAGGGACGGCAGAGGCAGCTACTGACCCCTACCCTGACCCACCAGCCCGAGACTGGAAGGGTCAAGCATGCCGAACTGTCCCCACCCGCAGTCATTTGGGAGCAAGTCCTGCCCCTCAGCTCACTCTAGAAAGGACAGCAGTCCAGACACGGCCAGTGCAGGCTGAGACCTGCTGAGAACCACAGGCGTAGATGCCAGCCGGACCCCAACTGCCCTCGGACGTTCCGCTCTCATTCGCCAAATATTAACTTACGTATGGGCAGCGGCCCATCCGGAACACAGCTTCATGAGATCCTTTCGGCCTCATCTCCTCTCCTTGGTGACATATTAGAAGACAGGAGGACTGTTAATATCCAGTAAGCAAGGCCATCAGAAGGAGGCAGGGGTATCTGTCCAGATGACTCTCCTCATAAAGGAAATGGGTTTCTTCCTAAATCGGGAGTCTCACATCTTGATTCTATCTCGTGGATTTCTTTTTCTGGCACGAGGACAGAAACAGGTCTCCCTTCTTCCTTCAGGGATCCTCTGACTTCTCTAGACGCGTGCTGGAGGGTTTCAGAGGGTCCAAGGATGCTGTCAGAAGTCACACTTAATGCACCATCACACATGGATCTCAACACACCAAATGTATGCTATTTCCCCCAACTACTACCAAAAAGACAGTTCAAAATCGGTTTGGTGGACGCTGATTAAACAGAAAATACACTCTAGTTTCCTAGCTTCATTCCAGAACTGCTACGGTGGACAAGAAACTCACAAATCATATCACATAATCATAGTCCCTCAAACATGAGCTGCTGATCTATGTGTAACATGAACAGGTTTAAATGCCGCTCTTGGCAGACGGGAGTCACTTCATATACACACACACCCACTGTTCTTCATGCTATTACAATAATTTCATCTTCACAGTAAAAATGTCAGGAATTCCCAGAGAAATAGAACATCAGCCCGTCTGTCCCAACGTCTCTCATTGGTGCAGCCTGTTTGCTAATGAACAGCCATTTCCTCCAGAAGGTGAAACCCTTTCGGAGAGAACCGCGAGTCCAGACGGAAAGGCAACGCACAGCGAGGCAGAGACCTCCTGCTCCGGAAGGGCCCAGCCCTCCCCAGACAGGTCAATGGCTTCCAGGCAGAGCCGAGGTGTGGAGGACGCCGCCTCAGCCTCTACGTGCATGCACCTCGGTGTGGGACAGCTGTGCTTACAGTGCTGCTGGGGCTCTCGGGGTGCGGCCCCAGGAGACTAGGGACGACTACGCAAGGCTCGCACCTCTAGCTGCAAAGTGATGGCAGTGCACCTGGTGGGAACGTCCCCAGCACCCCCACACTCCGCACACACGCGCCCACGGAAGCCCCTCGGGCTACTCGGGGTGCTGGCCACGCTCAGTGCGGGGGTGCTGTACAAACAGTCACGAGAAGGAAGTCACTGGGGTGAGCCCCGTAAGATTGCTCCTCTGCAAGCAGGGCTCAGGTGGATTCTTGTCTGTCTTAGGAGATATCCAGAATTACAATGGGCCATTGAGTTATTAAAGATCATTAGAAACAAGGTAGTTTTAAAATGAAGATAAAATATTGCAACATGAATGAAGGAATATATTAACTTGCTCTTCTGGTTGGTGTTGGCCTCCTCCTCACTTCTTCTTCTTTCTTTCCTGGACACACCGTGGACAGAACCTGTGACGAGAAAGACAAACTGATCAGCCAATTGTGCGCGGGAGGCCCAGACCCCGCCTCCGCTGGTCTCCCAGGACAGCTGGACAACGGTGAGACAGTGCCAGAAGAGAGACCCACAAGTACAGAGAGCGCACAGCTCCCGTGGGGAGGGACCTCCTATGCAGGTCACTCTATCTGGCACGTCTGTTTTGAAGCTGACAGATACACATCAACGAGCAAAATTGTTTACACATGAGCATTCCTCCTGATCAGCTTATCAGTCTTCCCTGAGCGATAACAAGGTCACCAGAGATCAAAATGGAGACGACACTCAGGTCACGCTGGTGGACTGCAGGTGCTGATGGCCAAGTATGGGCAGAGGACGGCCTGGCAGCTTAACCAGGTGGGCACAGGGTCCCGGGCCCTGTCCTGCACAGTCAAGTGGGCCCTGGAATCTGCATGGTTAACAAGTGCTCCCTGATGACTCTGGGCAAGTTCTAGAGCCTCAGACACAGGGGACTGTTCTTGGTGACTCCTGGACCACGGCAGTTGCTAATGACACAAGGGGACATTCCACGCTGCTTTCCACCTTAGCCCTCCTGAGCTCCCCAGGCAGGAGGCAGCTGATTCGTGTGACTGAGCTCCCCAGGCCCCACGCCACCGTCCGCCAGCGTCCAGTCTGTGCCAGTGAGTGAGCACTGAGCATGTCCCTGCCCCCGCCCAAGCCCCAGAGAAGGCAACGCTCCCCCAGCGAACATGCTCACGTGGAGGCTCACAGGGCACAAACATGTCAGTCAAAGAGCTTAAATCTCCCTGAAAGGGGGGTCGGGGGGGAGCCTGTGCACTTTGTGTCTCTAGAACGACCACAGAGAAGCCAGGAGTTAGATGGCACGGGTGGACCTTCCCGGCTCTGTGCGTCCTGTCACTAGACTCTTCCACCTGGAAGTCCCGCAAACAACTCAAACCCACCACGCCCAAAGTCAAACTCCAATCAAATCTCCCTTCCTCACGCTCCGGAGCCGGCCCACATGTCCCCTCTGTCAGCACACGGGTCCCATCCCATCACAAGCCAAGCTTGCCCTGGGCATCAGCCTCCTCAGCCCAGCGGGCCACCCAGTTCTGCCAGCTCCGTCGTCATGTCCCCGTCACCCACACCACAGGGTGGTGCTGGGGCCCACTGCGTCACTTCTCAGACTCGCGGGTGCATCATAGTGCCGAGGGGGCCACCCGCCAGGACCGCACACGGTTCCGAGACATGTGAGTACCCCGCCTTCGCTGTCATCCACTGAAGACCCGGGATAACGCAGACTGTCCTCTGGGGTTTCTAATGTCCCTCTGTCCGCACACAAGTAACGTCACTAGAGGAAACTGGCTGCTACACACACACCAACGAGGAGGGCAATATCCAAGATCTCATCTGAGAACATGATGCCAGCCCTGAGACGTCCATATTTACTGCAGGTAAACAAAACCGGGTTTTTAGTTAAATGAAACCTTAGGAATAATATAAAAGCTGCTTCTGCCGAATGAATGCAAGGATCCAGAACAGAAAATGGAAGTCCTGCTACACATCATATCGAGTAGACGGAAACCCTCCAGCAAAGAGCAAGCTCTGGCCTGCAGCCAGGTCGCAATTTCTTTAATGCTATTCATCTTTGCTCAATGTTTCCCCAAGGGAAAGAACCCCTCATTTCTCATTTTTATGTAGGATTATCTCTACCTCACTCAAAAGAGTCAGAATGGCCGTTCTTTAGGAGAAGGACAGAAAGGTATGTATTATGCAAACATAATAAAAGACTCGACCCCAGGTGAGGGGCAGCAGGTGTCCCTCTGCCAGCTGGGCCCCAGGACCAGGACCAGTGCCTTGACAGGGGGCCAGGTCCCCACAGGCACACCCAAAGTGTTCGCCCCAGGTCGCAGTGGGAAAGGTCCCACCAGGCGAGCCACATGGCCCAGTTCTGGAGGGAAGATAGCACACGCGATGCCCGTGGGCCGAGGGGACACGTACTGACCATTTTCCTTTGGGTTTTGTGGTCAGGTCCACACAGGCGAAGTGAAACCACTCGATTGGACACTGCAAGGAGAAGGGAAGAGGCGGCAGTCAGCACTCTGCATGCCTGGTGTGCCAGAGGAAGAAAACAGCCTCCACACCCCAGCCCGAGGGCGCGTGTCCCACAGGAGGATGCCACAGCGTCCGGGTTCCCCATCCCACATCCTGCGGCCACCCTGCCTTGGTAGCCCCGACACTCACATCCGGATTGTCACAGCCTATCATCTCCCCATAGGACACCTGGTGGCACAGGCAGTAGGTGGGCTCATTCGGGTCCACAGGCATGTCCAGCACGTCAGAGGGATGCACGGACAGGATGGTGTCAGTGAACTCAGACCTGCGAGGAAACAACAGCGGTGAGCAGCAAGTGGGTGGGGATATATTGCCCCCCATGGGGCCAGACAAGGACACCGTGGTGTGAAGGCGCCCGAGAGTGTGTGAAGGGAAAAGTGCTCACCCCACAGCATCGGAGTCCAGTCCCACTCTGGGGACATGCATCCATGCCCGTCTCAGTCCCTCCATCTGGACAGGACCTGCTGCCTGGGCTCCCCCCGACTGCCCCAGGTCGACCCTCCTCGGCCTCTTGGGGGCCCTCTCCCATCCAGCACACATCACTACCCACCAGCGGACAGTTGGCGACATCTGAGAACCCTGGCTGGACCCCATCCCACACGGGTCCAGGTGTCTGATGGGCCCTGCCTTCACCAGCTCTCCCAGTAACTGCACCTCCTCCCACAAGAATGGCCAGCACATCCCCATCACATCTTCACACAGCAGTTTCACCCCAAAACCCATGGCACCCACCAGCTCCCCTCACCCTTCCTCAAGCTCTAAATCTCAGGAGCCCGCCACACCCACTCAGCTGCCCACCGGTTAGCCAGGCCACCTCTGACCACATGCCACCCTCCCCAACCCACCCCAGTGAGGCAGGCCTGTCACCCCCACCTCTGCAGCTCCCCCTGGGCCTCCAACCAGCAGCCTGGCCAGAATCCCGCCCTGCCCACACCTCCCTCCAAATCAGCTCCCCACAGCCCTCAGCTGAGCGGGTGGGAGGGTGAGAATGAACCTTCACCTGTGTTACAGGGAAGGTAGGGGGAATTTACTCTTTTACGAGTTTCATTATTTTTCAAATAAATTTGCAATCTGCAGGCTAGCACAGACAGTATATTCCCATTAGTACAGAAGGAAAACATTCCCTGCCCTACCCCCAAATCAAGAATATACACGTGTATCACACACACTTTTGCGACATAAACACATCAAGGAACACGAAGAACGTGGCAAAAGGGACGCTCAGGAGCAGTGGCAGCCTGGAAAGTCAGACACACGGACGGGGACGGGGCGAGACGAGGAGTCTAATTCCCAGAGAGAATCTCCGCTGACCTTTTTCCTGAAGGTTTGTCTAGAAACATTCTGTGCCTTTGCGGTCACACATCAAGGCTCCACAGCACACCCGAGCCACTGCACTGTCCCCCCAACCTGTAAGTGCTGCCCCCCGACCCGGGCACTGCCCCCCGACCCGGGCGCTGGCCCCAGTGTGAGCCCTGCCCCCCGACATGAATGCTGCCCATGAGGGCTCCAGAGCCAGTCTGAGTCTTTCTCTTTGTAGGTAACCCACATTCTGTCTCTCAGAACAGACAGGATTTTCTCTTTGTGTCTGAAATCCGTGAGCGTCACACAGGTGTATCTGATCCATGTGCTTTCAACACTGCTTCAAGCGAGTCACAAGTAGTCCTTGAGGCTGGGACACTGTTTCCTTGGCTTTCCATGGAAACTCAGATTTCTCACCCGCCTTCCTGTCTCTGTCCTGCCGTCAGTGGGGGTCCCGCCCAGGTGGTCGCCCTGGATGACCCATGCAAAGCCTCTTAGGAATCACCCACAGACGAACCCACAACACTCTCTCTTGCAGTGCTCTCTGCTCTTCTGCACTGTCGTCATTCCAGCTGCTCTGTGCGTTCTGCCTGCGACGCTTGACCAACCTTTCACACCTTGAGCTACCACTTGACCTGCACCTGTCACCCCCCATTTAAGGGCACAGGCCCGATCCAGGTGGCAGCAGGAGAGGCTGGAGGGGTTGAGGGGACCACTCGGCAAGGATACCACCCAGCCAGCAGGGAGGCCCGAGGATCACTCCTGCATGACCCCCCTCTCCAGTCTCACTTGAGGGGCTAAGTGGGCGCTGCTCCTACTCCCAGAATGAAGCAGCCAGGAAGTCATGGGAAAGCCAAGCCCATCAGGGCCTTTCCCATTGCCAAGCCTGTCCCTTGGACAGGCCAGGGCGACCTCACTATTGGTGGTACTCGCCACCTTGCTCTGGCCCTATCAGGCACAAGCATCCGCCAAGCTAATTCCCCTGGACATGGTAAGTATCCCCCGCCAGGCAGTGCCAGGGAGCCCCCTCCCATACCTGAACCCCAAAATGTGCTTCTCAAGCACTTCAGGGAGCCCCCCAGCAGGGGCAGCTGCTCATCCAAGCTTTGGGACTCAGGGGGCTACAGGGGAAACTGCCCGTGCATCCAGACACAGGTCCTGCCTTGCCAGAAAGTACTGGCCAGGCAAGTCCCTGGGGCAGTGACAGTGCACCCGGGCAGCCGCGGCCAGCAGGACTCCACAGACAGGAAGGGATGACGTCTGTGAGGTCTGCGAACACACCACTCTAGGAAGGCCCTCCCTGTCCAGCCTGGGGTCCCCCAACAGGGAAGACAGAACCTGCAACAGACCAAGGCATTCTGAAAACTGCAGCAGCACTCAAAAGTGGGCTGTGAGGCCATGGTGCCGACGGGACAAAGGAGGCGTGTGAGAGCTCTAGACCACAATGAGGGGGCTCCCTGCAAAGGTCTCAGGGCCGCGTCCTCGGAGCCGTACCACCCTACATGCGCCCCTGGGCAGGCCAGGGTTTGAGTCCATTGGCCTTCTCTCAAGACGCTCACTCTGACCCCAGCACTGCTCTTACATCCCCCGGAGACGGCCTGCACCACACCCAAGGTTGGATGTCAGAGCCAGATTCCAGGGCAGGCCTCACACCCCTCACTTCAGCCGGTCTCTCTGGCCTGTCCTGATGCCTGTAAAATGGGACAGTGACAGCACCGCCGCTCAGGGTGGCCATGGAACAGAAACGGATTCACAGAGAAGAGCCAGGTCCAGCCCGACTCGCCGAGGAGCTCCACAAACATCACCACCCACGACGTCCCCTCCTCATCTGCAGTTGCTGCAGCCAGCCCAGCAGGAAGGCCGGGGAGTGGCAGCCAAGCCACTCGGCTCCTCGCCACTATTAGGCAGCGGTCAGCAGTGCACACAGCATCACGGCTCTGTCGGGGGAAAAGCTACACGCCCCAGCCATCTCAAGCGCGCACAGAAAGATGGCTGCAAGACGTAGGTCATGACTGCGGTCCCTGAGGCACAGCCAGGCGCATGCCCCTTCAGGGAGGCCCCAACCGCACCAGGGAACTGGAGTCTTGTTCCCTCTGAGGGGACCGTAGGTGAGGAGGAGACGGATGAGAATATCTGCTCTTCCCCAGAAAAGGCGAGGTGTGCCTTGGGGGTCTGAGCAGGAAGGAGCAGGAAGACATGGACGCTGCTACCACAAGTTAAAACACCAAACCCAACAAATTGCTAAAACCACATTTCAAAGACACACAGCCACTGATACTTCAGGACCCCACCGTCCACTTACTGAACCCAAGGGCTACGCAGAGGCTGCAGAGTGACAGAAAGGCAGAGCGAAGATCCCTGCCCTGTCCTTGGGGAAGGGGCCTGCCTCCCACACAGCCAGCACCCTCCTCCAGGACGCCACCAACTGTGGAAGCAGCGTGGGTGGGAGGCAAAAGAGGAAAGCTAAACAGCGCCCTAGCGCTGACTGGCCCCTGCAGGCAGTCTCTAGGGAAGGCAAAATAGACTCTCCAGGGACTAAACAGACAATAGACAAAACAGACTCAGCCCGGCAACGTAGTGGTTAAGTTCACACACTCTGCTTCAGCAGCCCAGGGGTTGCAGGCTCGGATTCTGGGCACAGACCTACACACCGCTCGTCAAGCCGTCCTGTGGTAGCATCCCACATACAAAATAGAGGCAGATGGGCCCAGATGTCAGCTCAGCAACAACCTTCCTCAGCAAAAAGAGGAGGATTAGCAATAGATGTTAGCTCAGGGCCAATCTTCCTCACAAAAAAAAAAAAAAAGAAAGAAAAAAAACAATCAGCAGGCAAGGGCTTTAAATAGTTACTATAAAGAAAATACGGGGCCGGCCCCGTGGCGTGGCGGTTAAGTGTGCGCGATCCACTGCTGGCAGCCTGGGTTCAGATCCCGGGTGCGCACCAATGCACCACTTGTCAGGCCATGCTGTGGCGGCGTCCCATATAAAGTGGAGGAAGATGGGCACGGATGTTAGCCCAGGGCCAGTCTTCCTCAGCAAAAAGAGGAGGATGTTAGCTCAAGGCCCACCTTCCTGAAAAAAAAAAAAAAAGAAAATATGAACAAGATGAATGTGGATGCAAATATGAAGACTTTTCAAATAGGAACTAAAAATTTTTTTAAGGAAGATCAGCCCTCAGTTAACATCTGCCAATCTTCCTCTTTTTTTTTTTTGCTGAGGAACACTGGCCCTGGGCTAACATCCATGCCCATCTTCTTGCACTTTATATGGGACGCCCGCCACAGCATGGCCTGACAAGTGGCGCGTCGGTGCGCGCCCGGGATCTGAGCCTGTGAACCCCAGGCCACTGCAGCAGAGCGCATGCACTTAACCGCTTGTGCCACCGGGCTGGCCCCAGAACTAAAATCTTTAAAAAAAATAAATAAAAGGATCAAATGAAAACAGTAAAATATGAAATTAACGTTTATGATCTCATTCATCTGTAACTAACAGAGCCTAACTGTTCACATGAGAGTCAGTAACAAACATATCCACCATAAGGCAGATGCTTTCGATCACCTCTGAAGCAGGTCTCATGGCCCAGTGGTAAATGTCCTGCCAGATTACAGAACTCTGGCTTAAACAAGAACACACACAAGACTACGCATTCCCAGTCAAAGGTCAGGCTGAAGTCCCACCGAGTGAACGAGGAGAAGCACTGTCTAAATGCTCCGTGAAGA